AGGGAGAGAGAGAGAGGGAGAGAGTACCTAAGTTTGCTGTGGGGGGGTCAGCGCTACTGAATGCAAACCAGTGAGGAGGCAGAGAGGGGCACAGTCATGTCCTTCGTTAAGCTGTGTCCTTGCAGAGTTGTGTGCTTGTGTGTTCGGCCGGAGCCTCAGAGTGCAGTGTCGGTGCTTTTTGCACAGCAAGTCGGGGGCACGTTGTTGAACTAGTTTGGAGTTAGGGGGTCGGGGGGTTCACAAGAGTGCAAACAAGAGCTGTCAGCGCGGCAATACGCTGCGATAAGGGGCACAAAACATGTGCTAGCCTTAGCCAAAAACAAGGGGGGGGTGCAATATAGTTTTATAGGGGGGTCAAAGTATAAGCATCGTAAGTAGCAAAGTGATAGACCCACCTAAACAAGAGCAACAGTAGCGACAGCTATGCATCAGCTGGTAAAGGTAAGGTGGTAGTAGTGTAACAGGATAAAGGTGACAGCCGAAAAGTACCAATAACAACTGATTGACAGAGCGTGGCGTTTCATCATAGACCGTTTGCATTTACACCAGCATGGCAAAGCCTCCTCCAAGCTGCTCACTGCTCAAATTCGCGGTGCCCAATACGAGTACTGGCACCGCACCGAAGACCTGCTGGAGGACTATGTGAAAGGTTTTGTCAAGCAACCAGAGTGCTAACATGCATCTTCACTTCGCAAGCATGTTTTGGCATTCTGGGCGCTGGCATTCTGTGTTCGCTTCGCCACCATAGCCGGAGGCACAAGTTGCTTATCCGAATTCACGCGTATGAAAACAAAGCAAACTCGCAAGCTAACTACATGTATCACACTCGTTTATTGCATTTTCCGTACATGCTTGGTTTGCCTCACAGTCTTGTGAGTCGTGTGCATCTGGTTCAACACACAGCCAGAATGGTGCATGTTTCGGGGGCGGGAGGGGGGGGGGGGGGNNCCCCCTCCCCCCCCCCCACCCCATGGTATCCCCCCCTCCCCCCCGCGGGGTGGGGCCTGTGGTGGCATCCCAACCCTTAGCTGAGGCTTTGGTTGGCCTTGTTCGCAGTTGTGCCTGCTGCCGGTGATACTGCCCAGGGCTCGCGAGTCGACACTCAGATCATCCTTGACATCATGCTGAACATCATCATCGTCGTCGTCATCTTCACCAACGGTACCATCAAAAGAACGGCTGCCACCATCACCATCGCCATACAACCTTCACAATTAAGCATTCTACTTCATGTCTGATGCCCAGATTGCTGTTTTCTGCACGGAGCGACACGCCAACCAGTCGGGGTCGTCTCGGGGGTGAGGGGAGGTTACCATGGGGGCGGCCGGGCGGGGGGGATACCAGGGGGGGGGGTGGCCCGGGACCCGAGAGCATATACATATACATATATATATATATAGATGCATATACATATATGCATACATACATACATACATACATACATACATACGTACGTACATACATACATACATACATACATACATATATACATACACGCATGTATACATA